ACGAGCACGATAGCATGGCACGACATACAAAAGCACTGGAGACGTTAAAAAACATGTGTACCGATGTTATAGGATGATCACGCGCGTACTTCGCTTGTCAGGTCTGCCGTTTCGTTTTTTATGTTTTTATTATTTTTATGTTAATTATATTACCGTCAGCGTTTCATTTTGCTTGGTAGTTACGACATAACGATGCACTACCGGCCGCTGCCGCTCTGCCTGTCCATCTGCGCGCGGCGGTGCCGCTCTGACTCGGCCTCCATCCGCTGGCCGGGTCTGTGACGCTGCCTGCTGTCCGCCCGCAGCGTGCAGCCATGGTTCAGCCGCGTCAAGCTGGTGGAGGAGGCGCTGTCGTCGGCGGCGGCGGCCGGCTCGCCGCTGGCGCCGCTGCTGGCGCGCGTCGCCGCCGGCGCCGCCGTCTCGGCCGACGCCACCGTGGCTGAGCGGGGCGCAGGACGCGGCCGGCCGTCTCTTCGCCAGCCTGCTGAACGCGCTTAAGACGGTCTGTCTTTGCTCAGGAAGTACGGCGGCAACAAGAAGAGGTGAGTGGTGGCCAGATTGCACGTTTGGTCGCGATAGTCTGTATTTAAAGTAACGCGGTTCGTGTTTATGGCTCGTGTGATTTCACATTACACCGTGGTAAATTGGTGGGGGTCAAGAATCTTGATGTTCTCAAATTCAGTAGTTTCATGCATGTATGTTTCACGATTTAGTCGCGGTTCCATCCAAGGCAGCTGGTCGATTGGATCGGATCGTTGTAAATGTCAGCGTCCATCTTTGACAGTTGCAGGAATGCTATTATAATTCGCCTCGCGTTTCATTACATCAAGCACTGAATGCGATGATACCAGCCGTATATTCCACTCGATCTCCTCTACGAAATCACGCACAAGCATCCGTCAGCTGAACGTTTGGTTGGAATTGCACCGTTCTCGTCCTGACGGACGCACTGGTGGCTTTACACCGTCTCCAGCACGTCGTGTCGTGTGTTGATCACGGCGTCCCATCAAGACAGCAGCGGTCAGCCGTGCGCGGCCTGACCGGCGGGTGGTCTGGTGACGGGCGCCGCGTCTCCGTGTCGACAGACAGGCGCCGGCCTACTTCGAGGACCTGTACCGCCAGAGTCTGGCCGTGTCGATGCGGCCCGGCTCCGAGCTGGAGAAACTGGCCGCCCTGGTGGAGCAGATTCGCCTGGCGCAGAAGCACTCCTGACCGTTCCGTCCGTGGCTCGAGGGTCTAGGTATGGCCCGCGTCCACCAGGTCCCTGGCCCGTCGGCTCTGGTTAGGGCAGGCTGGGTGCGGCCACCAAGCCCCGACTGTCGGGACCCTGGTCCGTGGGACTGTTACGACCTGCGCCCGTCACCAAGCCCCGACTGTCGGGACATGGATCGGGGGAGGAGAGGGGGGCTGGTGCGGTCTGCTCCCGTCACGGAATCCCGCTTGACCCGTCGGTAAGCTAGGCGTGGCCACAGAAGCGTGGGAATTCCCCGGACCGTTCAGTCATGGCCGGATGACGTCCGCAAGCCTCTCCCAGGGACGTGCCTGTCGCCGCCACCCAGTCCGGTGGCAATATTCGCGCAGCTGGGATCGTATTTCTCCGTTGTTTGCCTCGATATGTTGACAAATCATGATCAAATGCTAGCTGTTCGTTCTCATGCGCGGGAAGAGTTATGGTGGGTGTTGAGGGAAGAGTTAGGAGTTATGGTGGTGGAGGTGGTGGAGTTAAGAGTTATGGAAGAGTTATGGTATTTTCGTGAGAGAAGCTCGCCACCCGGTCTGTCGAGTGTGGGCCGCAATAAGCCCAGCTGCCCAGCGTTCCCGGCTGGCGTAGCGTGCGGTGCCCCGTACCACGTCTCTGTGCGGGGTCTGTGGCTGTGCGGTGGCATTGGGCGGAGTAGCACTGTCGACGCCACCGACCTCGGCCCGCCTGGCGATTCGTCTCGTGCGTGTCTCGATGTTTGTAGGTTTACGCGAAACTGTTCGCTGTCGCACGATATGAACGAGTTAGGAATTTTTGAAGCAAGCGCAAAAGGTCCTGGGCTCTGAGGCCACCCGTGGTTATGGGACGAAATGACTGTCACAGTCTCTTACGTCAGTTCCTCTTCATTGTTGTGTCATTGTTCCGAAACTCCGTGTGTGATTTTCACTGCCGTTTCAGCCGCAGCCGAGTTGGGCCTTGTCTTACCTCACCTGGTGGCAGCTCTGCGAACTACTCGGCCCCGTCCGTCGGCACTCTGCGCGCATTTGTACATCAGCATGAACATGTGCTGACACCCATATGTAATCATGAACGCTCGTACTCACCGCGCTTATACTTGTGCTGTGCTGTATTTATCTGAACTGATGTATCGTTTGTATACCTCTTACCGAGCGCGGAGCACGGCTCATTCAGTGGTGAATGGCCTTTGTATTCCAATTAACTCTCGTATTTTATTTAGACCGTTGCGTTTCCCCGTTGCATTCAGTGAATGGTTGGCCGAAATTGATCCATACCACGGTTATGAATGTTTCGGCCAGCCATTCACCGAAACGCGACGTAAGGAACTAGTATACTGGGTGCGGTTCGGCGCCTAAACCACTGAGTGAGCCGGGCCCGGACACCGACGTCCTCAGGATGCCGGCGTCCGCACGCGAGGCTGTGCCGCTGTGAACGGCGCGGGGTCCCGCGGGACGGGCCCGCTCAATGGCAGGACATTTGTACTACAGTTTCATGCTAGTGACGCTTACGCAAGGGATCTCAGGTGTGCCGTGGCGTGTCCGAGTGGCGATTTAATGATGGCTTGTGAGCTTTACCACTGTAATAAAGATAACTGTCGGACGCCGGGTGCTGTTCTCTGCCCCGGGTAACTGTAGCGGCGAGCGGAGCGGAGCGGAGCCGCTCGAGCGGAGCTGAACTGCCACTTGGACTGGAGCTACCGCACTACTTTCCGATGCACTACATCATCATGAGCACTAGGTGGACATGGTGGCCTTGCGACCTGTCCCAAGTATGACAATGCCTAGTTGAAGCCTACTGACATTTAGCTGTTTACTGTTGAAGCCTACTGTCATTGCCTAGTTGAAGCCTTCTGTCATTTAGCTGTTTACTGGTCTCTATGGGTACGGACACTCATTGTGTTGTTTTTTGCAGCCTAAGTTAGCGGCGTGATGGCGGGCTGAGCCACGTGTGTGGTCAATGTAGGTCCTCAAACAGACCTGCGTCAGACGGCCGAGAGCCGGTCAGAGTCCAACGAGTAGGTTAAGATTCTGGCTCGAAGCACGGTTGTGGGTCCGTCGAGCGCGGGTGTTCGCACAGGGCTTCGCGGCCCGACAGACTGGCCAGGCCGTCGCATGCAGTCGTGGTTGATGGCCACCCACGTGGATATGTGGCCGTGCAGGCGTCAGACATTAAGCTCCTACGTCTGAATGTAGGCTTAGGGTCATGTGGTCACGAAAAAAGCACCCAGTAGCCATTGTGTCCTGCTAACCACGCACCAACGCATTAAGTGCTTTGCGCGCGTTAGACAAAGCCCCACGACACGCCCCGTAATACTGAACGTGCCGCCGTGGACGCATGGGTCACTGGAGCTACAGCGTGTCGCACGTGGATGCTCCGCCGCCTTCGGTTCAGCCGTGCCGTCCCGTCATCTTCATTTAAAAGCCGGCTGCCGGCTGACGCCGCGTCGGAGATTCGGCTTCCGCGGACCGTCGACGCGAATGCGTAGCAGGTGACTCATTAAATATTCAGAGTTACCATCTGGGTGTGAGTGGGTGACCACCGTCGCCCCGCCACCTCGCCCCTCGTCGCCCGCCCGAGTTGGCAAACCCGTCGAGTGCTCAGTAGCCGAGCGCAAATCTGCGACCCCCCGCCCTCCATCCCAGCCTTCCGGCCGTGAGCGCGCGCCCGCCGGCCAGCGGCGCGACCGGCCACCGGCGACCATTGACACCCAGCTGTGACGGCTGTCGGCACGGGCGGCGCCGGCCTCCGCCCCCGAGCCGCGGCGTACATCGACCGTCCGGTTGCCCGGCGGCGGCGGTACACAGCCGGCGGCGGCCGCCGGCGCGCAGTCGGCACCATGTCGGGGGGCGCGGCCGCGGCGGCCGAGCCTGACCTCGCGGCCCCGCTCCAGCGGCCTGACGCGCGTCATCAGCTCGCCGGCGGTGCGCGTCACCTCGCCGCCAGATGATCTGGCCCGGAATGAGATGGGCCAGACGTTCAAGAGGTGGGTGATCCCGGCGTGGGCGGCGGACGACGGTCGCGAGCGGTGCAGGCAGCCGGCATGCGGTCGTCATTGGGGGTCTTAAGGGTGCATGTCGGGCGCTGAGCTTTTCGTGTTGAACGTCGGTCGTGGGTAAATTAGATTTGTCTTCTAATTTTGCGAGGGCAACAAAGTAGGCGCAAGCTACGTTTACCGTGATTAACCATAGTGTGGGTGCCGCTCATACGGTACAATGGAAGAAACAATATTTTTTTAAAAAGTTTTGAAACGAGATTGTCGTCTTGGACGAATTGACTACATTGTAACCACACGCTGGGCAGAAATCTTTGAAAGTTAATTGATATGCATCTATTTCACTTCTTAGCCAAGCGCACCTCTGTCGGTCTCTCCGCGTGTCCACATTTCTTTAGCCAGGCGCGGTGCACAGATGGCTGCAAGGATTTCCCTGATATATTTCACATGCGATGGGTTGCTCCTTCCTAACGGTCCGCGACACGAATTCATTCCCGTCCGATGCCAGTGGCGGTCACAGCGCGAGAAGGGTCTGTTTTTGGCATTTAACAGGGAGGCATTCATCGCATTCGCAGGAGAAGCAAACCGCACTAAGGCCAAGCCGTAGAAAGCATGTAAAGCTCGAGAAGTGATGAATATAGCATCCTCGCGCGCAGGGGACTTTCGGTTAGCGCAGCCACTCACTGAAACCTTAAAATTAGTAAGCCAGGCTCTGCATTACTGGGATGTGAACCAGTGTTATGTGGTTGGAGGTGGTGCTATACTGAAGCCAACAGCGCCGGTGTCGCAACATTAGTGCTGCGCTAAAGATCTTACAGACTGGAGTGAAGTGTCCTACGTGAAGTCATCAAAAGTCCAAGATCATAGTAACCAGTGTGCATATCATCCAAAGTCACGATATCCAACGTCCATAAAATTCAAAATGCCTCCAATGCCGAGCTCATCGGCGGAGTTCACAGCATGCAAGCTCGCAACGTCCAAAGTCATGGCATCCAATGTTCATGACATCCAACGATCACGAATTCCAGTCGATAGGCTTTAATTGCCACTGCTCTCCAGCCTTTGGACGTTATAAACGCTGCATGTTATGAGCTCAGGAACTCTGGATGGCTCGTTTTTGGAGTGCCGCGGGCTTGAATGTTGTGATTCTCTCCCTTTCAGGGACGTTGAAGACGACTTTTGGATGTTATGAACTCTGGACGTTGCGTTTTTAGACGCTTTGACTATTGGACGTTATGAACTCTGGATACTTTAGTACGCATCCAAGTATTATATTTATATATATATATATATATATATATATATATATATATGTGTGTGTGTGTGTGTGTGTATATACATATTTATATATACGTATATAATATATATATATATATATATATATATATATATATATATATATATATATATGACATAACATTCGACATATAGCGTATATAGAATAATGACGCGTATAACCAATGTGGTAGCACTGCATGAGTGATACAACATTGGCTATGCGCGACACAACTGTAGTGGTGCTTTTTTATTATACTAGCTATACGCGACCTCTTCCTACGCAACTACAGCAAGGACTTAAACAGGCTTTTCTTGCGCACGACATTACTTTTACCGCAAAGACGCATGCGTGACTTGAGTGCTGGGTGTCGGGAATTATGTTGCAGAACCATACACGCGTAATTTCTTCTTTAGTGAATAGTTATAGCGTATACCAATATGCGACAACACTCTTACTGCAAAACCGATACACGACATGAGTGCTACACAGCAAAATCTATACCGCAAAAACATGTACCAGTCATCAGTTCTGCCGCAAAGACTGCCGGCATTGACATATACGCGACATTACTCCTGCTGCAGTGAATCATCTGCGACATATGTGCTACGAAATACAACTGGCAAATAATGAAAATTTTGTAAAAAAGACCTTATGTCCTTCCTTATGGCCTATTGCAATAGCCCGTACAGCCTCCGTATTAGCAATTTTATTTCTTCGGCTAATGTTCATGTGCGACATTTCTGCAATACAATGCAGAGCATGAACCATAAATCATAGCGGCCAGTAATCCAACTCATTGGCTGGGCCCAAACCAAAATAACCAAAATCCCGTGCAGGGAGCGGACGCATGGAAACACTAAGGGGGACAACATAATTTATTTTTGCATTTTGCACTATATGGCAGGCAGGTATTAGCAGTAGAAGAAATTTTGCACGTACATAAAACAGTATAAGTCTTAACGGTAAAAGTAAAGCGAGTTATGCACATGAAAATGTAAGTTTTGTCATTGAGCACTTATACCGCATATAGGTCTTTGCAGGAATGTTTATGTCGTGCATCAGTAATGACCAAACAATTTTGCGGTAGAAATGTTGAAGAAGACAAGTTTTGGCAGCATGTTTAGTATTGCGGGTGTAAGTATTGCCGTAGCCCTTCTGTCAGCTGGAGTTTTTGTTGTAGCTATTAAGTCGTGGAACCAACGACGGCAGCTCTTCGCGCAGCAAAGCGGTGTGAACCACAGCTAAATATAATCTATTCGATGTCCTGAGCACGCGGAACAGCGCCGTAAGAACAATGTGCTCGAGCGATACCTGAGCGCTAAGCCGCGCACGAATGTTAACTTAGGGACGTGGTCAGGACAAGGGGCACAGGCTAGTGGCTCCTTTGAGCCAAATGACTTGTGCTGAATAGAAAGTTCTCCTGGGGGAAATTCTTAGGAATCCGGTCTAGGTTCGCAGGAGATCGATCCCGTGGAAGACCCTGACTATATACTTTCTTTGAAGGGAATGTCCCGTATTCGAAGATATTGAGGCAAGCATCAGATAGGATGATATAAGCTCACTTACAACTATTGGTATACTCTTAAGTAGAAAAGGCTGCTCTAGACAATGCAATTTTTCCATCTAGTAAAAATGCTCTGCACTACGTCAACGTTTAATGAGCTCATCGTTCCTTGCACAACTCTGACTGAGAGCTAA